GCGATCAGCTGTTATTATTCGAGCTGGGCGGGCCAGATGGCGAATGTCAAGGGCATCATCCTGCGTGGGCAGACCAGACTGGGCGAGGTGCACATCTTGATCAAAAGTGCTCGAGACCAGCCCGCGTTCCAGGACCTATGAAATTGATTGCGGACCCGCGCGTGACATAGCATGGATTTCTACGTCGCATATGGTGGGTCGGAAGGCGATGGTATAGGCCAGGCGCGTTCGGGGCATGAGCGAACGTTTGGCAGACGCGGGGGCGATTGGCCTCAAGTCAAGCTGCGCGGGCAAGTTCGTTGATGCCCGTGGCGACGATAAACTGCGGTTTCGAGTCCGACCGCGTGGCATCATGGCCAGGCGTTCCGTCGAGATCGCTGCCCAGGTCAGGCCGCGCCGTCCGGGGAGGAAGCCCAATGCTGGAGAAGCTGAAGAGCTGCCATTTGGGCTTGGCCAGGGTTTCGAGGTGGCGGATGGCGCCCGCCACGGGCGGCCCAGGTCCGGCGCCGCCGCGCCGTCGGCCCTGGGGAGGTGGTGGCGATGACGGGCTGCGGCGGCGAGCGCGAGGGCGTGGGCGCGGTCGAGGAGTCCAGCAGCGACGACGGCAACGACGAGCATCCGAATCCCAAAATCAGGGCGAATGCGAAACCCGCAGGCAAAGCACAGGCGCGGCAGCTTCACTGGCCCCAGATGCACCGATTAGAATCGGGCCGGGCGAAAGGGGGGGATTGGGAAAGGGGGGGTTACGAAATTTGCTGCATGGAGCTGGTTTCGGCCTCGCCGAGGGGCCCATTCCTCGATGCATGGCCGCCTCCGGCGCCGGGAGGCGCTGGGAAAATCAGCTACGCGAGCTGATTCTCAAACCCCCCCTTTGCTACCCCCCCTTTCGCCCGACCCGATAGAAGTGGATATCTGGGCGGGGCTGGTTTATCTCATTTTGAACTCGCTCCGCGGAGTCGGTCGAAGTGCATGGTTTGTGTGTGTGTGTGTGTGTGTGGCGCGATCGCTATGTGTGCATGGCGCTGTCGATGCGAAATCAAACCCTCCACATCGCCGCGCGACAGTAGATCCGCGCGCGCTGCGTGGGCGAGCTCCCGCGCGCGACGTGAGACGTGGTTCGACCCTGGCAGTTCTGGTGCGCCACCCGAGGCGAGAAATTGCATTCGGCGAGGCCGCGCATGTTCCGCGGTCCGCGCTGCGGGCCCAGGCGCGCGACGCGCGCGGGACATTGCGCTGCGAACTTCCTTGTGGCAGGCGCGCGCGAGAAAAATGCGCGCGGGGTGAAGATTCGAGGGGCGGGGGGGGGGGGGATGAGAGGGGAATTGGGATAGGAGCATGAGGGAGAACAGAAGGAGAGGGCCTTGAGGAGCAGCCGGGATAATGATGGGTGATAAGGGGCGAGGATGACATCGGACATCGGTGTGAGGATCAGGGTTGGAGATCAGGATGAGGCTGGGATAGGGCATCGTCATGCTGCGGGTGGGGGGCGCGGGCCAGGGGGGCAACGAGGGCGAATGGGGGATTGGGGGGGTCGAGCTTGAGAGCTCGGTGCGCCCGGGGAGCCCGGGGCAGGTCAGGGCCTCTGCGGCGCCCGGGAGATCTGCTTCGAGAGCGCGAGCCCCGCCCTGGGGGGGCCCGCGCTTCCTCCCCCTCCTACTCTTCCTCTCCCCCCATCGCCCTCGTCGCTGCGGTCCCAATGTTTGCCCCTCCTCGCGTGTCCATCTTGGCCCACCTCCCTCCCCCCCCCTCGTTCCCCGCCCCCCCCCCCCCCCCCCTCCCCGCCCCCGCTTCATCTCGCGCTCTTCCCCGCGCCGCCCTGGTCATCGCCCCCCCCTTGTTCGTCTTCGCCGTCCTCCTCCTCGTCTCTTTGCCCGTCGTCGCCCCCTCCAATGTCGATTTGTCCTCTTCTTCTCCTCCTTTCCCTTCCCCGCCCCCCCCCCTCCCCCCGCTCCGCCCCGCGCCTCCGTCTTTCGTTTATCCCCGAGGCGCCGCCGCGCTCCCCGCCCGAGCCCCCGCCCCCCAGCGGAGCCCTGCTTGATTGGCTGGTCGGTCGGTTGGCTGGCTGACTGGCGCGCGCGTTCACGTGGGCCACGTCAGCCGACTGACGCTGATTTTGGCCATCTTGGCTGGCTATGCCCCCGTGGGCTTCGCCCCCGTGTGGTTCGCCCCCGTGGGGTTCGCTTCCGGCGGGTTCGCCACCGTGGGGTTCGCCCCCATAGGGTGTTGAAACCCGATAAATCGCATGTCAACTTCAAATTCCACGCGGCCACCGTTGAGGGCTTTTTTTAGTTGCCAGGCCGACGCGGCGAGTTTTCGATTGTTGAAACCCGTGACGTCGCATGTCAATTTCAAAGTCTCACCGGTCAACGTTAGTGCAGAACTCTAGTCTCCAATCCAGCATGGTTGCTTTTTTCCGATGGACAATGCAGAATTCTCAACTTGCGGCGGCGTGCAGGTGACCCCTGTCGCCCGCGCGCGACGAGTGACCCGCGCGCGCGCGGGTAACCCGAAATCCGCTCGGTCACATTTGAGGGTTCATTTCAGTTTCCAGGCCAACATGGCCACTCTTCGAGTGTGGAGAGCGCAGAACTTTCAACTCTCGCGCGCGCGGGTTACGCGTGTCACCGGCCCGCGCGCGCGCGCGTTGAGTGCTCTGCATTGCCAGCGAGCGAGAAGGCGCCATGTTGAACTGGAACCCAACACGACACCTGCACGGTCACCGATGGGATTTCAAAGTTTACATCTTATGTCTTGGATATCAGCAGTCGAGGCAGCACTAGGTTGACCTGGGCGCTAACGTGTACCCTGAACAGTGACCGATGGCGCGCGGGTGGCGCGTGCCACCCGCGCGCGCGAGAGTTCTGAATTGCCCGCCATCGGAAAGCCGCCATGTTGGCATGGTAAGGAAAGTGAGCCCTTAACGGTGACCGAGCGACTTCGGGTGACCCGCGCGCGCGGGTAACCTGCCGCGCGTTGACAGTTGTGCATTGTCTACAATGGAGAAGTCGCCATGCTTGCTTGTAAAGTAGAGCGACCTCTTAGGGGTGACCTATTGGATTTGGGAGTTGACATGCGGTTCCGTAACTAGCCATGTTGGCCTGGCAACGAAAGTGGAGTCATTGCGGTGACCGATGGGATTTTTTGCTGGTTTCCAGGATCGATCAGTGGCCGTGTTGGCCTGGATATTAGAGTGAATCATTAGCGGCTACAGATGGGATTCTGATTTTGGCATGCGATTTCTTGGTTCTCCACAGCTCAGAAGTCGCCATGTTTGCTTGGAGGCAGCGCGGCGCACCTGCGCGCGGCGTCGAGCGGCCGCGCAAATATCGATGTGCCGAAATTGCAATGGCGCTTTTGGCCCTTCAGTTTCGAGACAGCTCTTTCGGCCGGACGACTTATTCAGGAGCGGCCAGCGGCGGCGCAGGCGCGCGCCCCCATCGGGACAGAGTAGCAGGGTTCGCCCGGCGAAGCAGTCGCCAAAATGACAATGACAATTCGCACCATGGTCATCATCTCATGTTTTCAACCATCGTCGCCATCGCGCCGATGGCCAGCATCGTCAACGTCGATAACGCCTTCATTACCAGTACCATTTTCAGCGTCATTGTCATGGACGCCATCATTACAACATACTGTCTCATCGGTGCCCCCATGGCTGTTTGCGCTTCAAGGTTCAGCGTGTCTGGCGAGCCCTCGGACATCCTTTCCCACTTCGGGAGCGCCAGCCCATCCAGACCCGCGGCTTCCAAACCCGAAGTTTCTTGACAAGGTCTGGCCCGTGACGAAAAAAACGCTTCAAGTCTTTGTTAGAGGAAATCCTCGCGTGGGAGCACCGCTCAAATCCTCCCAAAACCGCATCCCAAGGATGCATCCGAAAAAAGGCTCGAAGACGGTCCAAAGACGGCTGGAGGTGGCTGGGAAGTTCTTCAATAATTTATGCCCCGGAGAAGCCAAACTCATTGATTGTTCGGCCCTACTGGTGCGACCCAGAGGGCTGGCCCCCGTTGCGCCGAGGTTTGGCCCCAAATGCGTGGCCAGAAGGGGGGGGCCTTCGATGCACCGTGGTGGCGTGTAACACGGAGCCACACTCGGGCACCTCTCTTTTTTTTGTTCGGGGCCTCCTCCGGTCTTCGGGCGGTTCCAGAGAAACGCAAGAAACGCCGAAGAAGCCTCCAAGACTTCCCCAGGCGTCGCCGGGATCCCGAACTTTCGCTGCCGCACGTCCCATCAGAGGCGACGACAGTGGCGAATAGCCAAGGGGAGAGCAATACATGTATTCAGGTGCGCCGATGATCAATGTTTTCGAAAAGGCTCCCTGGCGAATACGTATAATGCCCGCCCCTGGGCTATTCACCCTTATCGTCGCCGCCGATCCCACTACCAACCCCGAAGGAGCTCCAGAATCGCCCTGCGTTCCCCATTGGCAAGTTGCGATGTTCGTTCTTTGGGCGCGGCTAGAATCCAGGCGCGCGCGCGAAGCGCGCGTGGTTCTAGTTACACGCGCAGTCGGACCGAGGTAAAAGATCGAGGTCGGTTCGGGGAGGGTAACCTGCTGTTCTTCGTGCTTGCTGGATGCTCTTGTGCATCCTGGAGGGTGTTCTTCTGTCCTATGTCCGATTGTATCTGGGCGCTCCGACGGCCGTCGCGTTCGATGATGCTCCCGGGCGGAGGCGTGTCATGCCCCCGCCCGTCTCTGGGCTGTTCGCCTTTGCGCGGTCGCCTCCGAGGTTGAGCGGCTGGCCAGGGCGGACCCTGGGACGGGACTGGGTGGTGTTTTAATAGCGTTTTTTGTTTGTCCTCGTCGTCGTCGTCGTCGCCGTCGTCGCCTGTTGTCGTCGTCGTCGTCGTCGTCGTCGTCGTCATTTTCGTCGTCGTCGTCGCCGTCGCCGTCGCTGTCGCCGTCGCCGTCGCCGCCGCCGCCGCCGCCGTCGTCGTCGTGGTCGTCGTCGTCGTCGTCGTCGTCGTCGCCGTCGTCGTCGCCCGTCGTCGTCGCCCCCCAGGCCTGTGCGGCCGCCGTCCGGGAGCAGTTGCAGGCACCCCACTCCTTTCCCCTGGCTCCCGGGCGGCTGCGAGTTGGTGGGCGGCGGCGGCGGCCTTCCTCCCTCCTCTCTGCATTCGTCGCTTCTCCTCCATCGCTTCTCTTCGTCCTCCTCATCCCCATCCCTCCTCCCTCGTCATCCATCGCTCCCTCCTCCTCCCCCCTCTTCGTGCCCCGTCCTTCACCTTCTACCTCTTTCCGCACCCGAGGGGCGGCGACAACGGCAACGACGCCGAGCTCCTCGGGCTCTTCCACCTCGTCATCCTTCCTCCCCCTCCCCCTCCTCCTGCTCCTCCTCCTCCTCCTCCTCCGCCTCCTCCGCCTCCGCCTCCTCCGCCTCCTCCGCCTCCGACTCTGCCTCCGCCTCCGCCTCCGCCTCCGCCGCCTCCGCCGCCTCCGCCGCCTCCGCCGCCTCCGCCGCCTCCTCCTCCTCCTCCTCCGCCTCCGCCTCCGCCTCCGCCTCCGCCTCCGCCTCCGCCGCCTCCGCCGCTTTCGCTGCCTCCTCCGCCTCCTCCGCCTCCTCCTCCTCCTTTTCCTCCTCCTCCTCCTTTTCCTCCTCCTTTTTCTCCTCCTCCTCCTCCTCCTCCTCCTCCTCCTCCTCCTCCCCTCCTCCTCCTCCTCCTCCTCCTCCTCCTCCTCCTCCTCCTCCTCCTCCTCCTCCTCCTTCCTCCGCGCGGCAGTGCTCGACAACAAGGCCACCAGAGGCATGGAGGTCAACAAAACGTCGGGAATCTGAAATCTCGAAGATTGCGAAGGCCTTACGGCCTGTGCCGCCAATCTTGAAGGGAGACGACAACGACACCGACGACGACGACGACGACGATGACGCCGACGCCGACGCCGACGCCGACGCCGACGCCGACGCCGACGCCGACGCCGACGCCGACGCCGAGGCCGACGACGACGACGACGACGACGACCACGGCGGCGGCGACGACGACGACGCTGACGTGGGCCAGAGTCCTCAGGGATGCTTCTTGGGGTCCCTCGGAAGCCTCTCGGGCGCCTCTGGGGATGAATTCCGGGACTTCTTGGGGGCCTCTTGGGGTGCTCCTGGGAGCTTCTCGGGGGCCTGCTCGGGCTTCCTGGGGACTTCTTGTGGGCCTCTTGGGGCCTCTTGGGAACCTCCCAGGGCTTCCTGGGAGGCTCTCCCCGTCCGGGCACGTTCTTGGGGCCGTCTTGGGGGCCTCTTGTCCGAGGCCCCCATCACTTCACTAATTTTGGGCCCTAGGGCCCACTGAGGCCCCAGGGGCCCCAGATTAGTGAAGTGATGTTTTTTTTCCGACGTAAAGACCCCGAAATTCATCACTTCATTAAACCGAGCCCAGGACGAAAGTCAGAGGCCGAATTGCTGCTGTGATGCAACATCGGTCTCGTATCTTGGGCCATCGTGGAGGCGTTTTGGGCTGTCTTGGGGTCCTCTTCGGTTGTTTTGGGGCCCTCTTGGGGGCCTCTTTGGCCGTTTTGGGGCGATCTTGCGGGGGCCTCTTGCGCCGTCTCGGAGCGGCGGGAAGTGGAAACGGCGAGATTGCCCAGCTCTTAAAGCACCCACGGAACATCAATGAACCTGGCCTCTTGGGGCCCTCTCGGGGGTGCTCTTGGGGCGTCCTGGAGGCCTCCTGGGCAGTCTGGAGGGTGTGAAGGCATTTTGGACCGATCGTTTTGCGATTGGGGACCCTCTCGGACCGTCTCGGGGGCCTCTTGGGGCACTCCCGACGGGGGAGGGATTAAAGGGAAGTGGCTTCCCTTCGACTCGATTACGGCATTGCCTGATTTTTCTCTCGCTGACAAGTTTGGGGAGGAGGGTGCAGGGAAAAGGACGACGGAGACGACGGAGACGACGACTGACGCAGACGACGACTCGAACAGACGAGCCCCTCACGCACGCCGACAGATCGCTTCTCATCCATCCCTCCTCTCCTCCTCTTCATTCCCATCCCTCCTCCCTCCTCATCCATGGCTGCCTCCTCCCTCCCCCTCCTCGTGCCCCCTCCTTCGCCCTCCACCTCCTCCCCCACCCGGGGGGTGGCGACAACGGCAACGACAACGAGCTCCTCGGGCCCTTCCACCTCGTCCTCTTTCCTCTCCAACCCCTCTTCGTCCTCCCTCCGCGTGGCAGTGCTTGACAGTGAGGCCACCAGAGGCATGGACGTGAACATAACGTTGTGAATGCGGCATCTCGAAGAGGTTTCATATTCAGAATAGTCTCATTTGCGACGGCGATCGGCATTCTATGTGTGTATATATATATACGTATAGTAACCAGCGTGTGCGCACGACAGCGTCTCTCGACTCGAGCAATGGATGCTGTGCACTATACGTTGGGTAATCGATGTTGTGCAATGTATGTCGTGGAATACATGTGGTGGAAGCTATGTTGGGCAGTATATGGTGCGCAACATGTGTGGTGCAACCAATGTTGTGCAAGTAATTATGTTCACAGTGAGTTGCGCAATCCACTGCCCGCGCAAGCATCCCACCCACCCGCCCGCATCTTTGACAGAACCCATGCGGTGGTGATTGCGATGAGTGCCTGGAGTCGGCTGGCGCATCTCTGCGGCCGCGCTGGTCCGCGCATGCTCGCGCGCGCAGCGGCCAGCTTGTTTGGCGCTACCGACGCGGTCGCGGTGGCGCTGACCGCTGGGCACATCCCAGCGGGCACTTCAGTGCGAGTCGGCGACTTGGGCGGGCGTGGTATCATGGCACCGTCGACAAAGGTAGACACGATGATGGTAGTAGCGGTGTTGTTGACGATGGTGACAGCGGCGACGGCACGGCTAGTGACGGCGCCGATGCTGATCACGCCGACGACGAGGACGGCGTCCTCGCGTCGGTGATGTAGGTTTTCGAGGGAGTCCGACGTGCGCGCGCGGTCGACGCGCGAGAATGGCCCTCATGGTGTTATTATTTGGCGCGGATCGTGCCCCCCCGGCACTCGCGCAAGGGCGTCCGAATGACTTCGGCGTGCGGCGCGACTGACTCGCTTGGCAGAGTTCATTTTTCTTGGAAATTGGCAAAAGCGCGAGCGCGTTTCTCTGACACCTATGTTGCGAAACCGATATATATATAAATATAGATATAGATATAGATATAGATATAGGTGTGTTTTTGACATTCGATCTTGATTTCCTTACGAAGCACAGTTTTTTCGTTAGGATTTCGGCATGGGCGCGCGGCAACGCGCGCGCATGTGTGTGTGTGTGTGTGTGTGCGCGTCGTTACATTTTTGGCAAGGGATTGTTCCCCAATCAGAGCTTGCCTCTATAGGGGTCCTAGCGGACTAAAGGGTTAGGTAGTCTGTGCCGCCGATTGCCCGGGTGGCCGGGGCCGGGTGCCCGGGTGCCCGGGGGTGCCCGGGGGTGCCCGGGTGCCCAGGTGTGTGGCCGATTTCGGTGGCCGGGGCCGGGTGCCCCGGGGTGCCCGGGGGTGCCCGGGGGTGCCCGGGGGTGCCCGGGGGTGCCCGGGGGTGCCCGGGTGCCCGGGTGCCCAGGGGTGCCCGGGTGCCCGGGGTGCCCAGAAGTGCCCGGGGGTGCCTAGCCTAATAGCCCTATATCCCTATAGCCCAATAGCCCAATCGCCCTATGTGTGCCCAGGTGTGTGGCCGATTTCGGTGGCCGGGGCCGGGTGCCCGGGTGCCCGGGGGTGCCCGGGGGTGCCCGGGTGCCCAGGGGTGCCCGGGTGCCCGGGGTGCCCAGAAGTGCCCGGGGGTGCCTAGCCTAATAGCCCTATATCCCTATAGCCCAATAGCCCAATCGCCTTATATCTCCATAGCACTATAATCTTATAGCCCTATAGCCGTACAGCCCTATAGCCCAATAGCCCAATAGCCCAATAGCCCCATAGCCCCATAGCCCTATATCCCTATAGCCCTATAGCCCTATAGCCCTATAGCCCTATAGCCCTATAGCCCTATAGCCCTATAGCCCTATGATCCTAACGCCCTATAGCCGTATATAGCCCTGTAGCCTTATAGCCCTATAGCCCGAATAGTGTAAACGGTTCCGCACGCTCTCCCTTCGACGCCGGCTGCATTTTCTCTGAAAGCGAGGCTCCCGCCCGAGCGTTGCCTTGAGCCTAACTGTGGGCCCCTGAAGGGCCCAGCTGCGACGACAACAGCTCCCGCTCGATACATCCTCACAATTTACCCCGAGGCACCCTGGCCAGAGAGGCCCCCGAACTCAGGAACGGCGTTCTCGCTCGAGGCTTCTTCGCAATTCAATCAAGCTGGCGGAGGCCCAGCCACGAAGAGAAGGGCTCCTGCTCGATATCCCCTCACGAGTTACTCCGGGAGCCCCTGGCCAAGAAGGCCCCCGAACTCAGGAACGGCGCTCTCGTTCGAGACCCTCCCGTACTTCCGGCATGTTGGCGGGGGCCCGAACAGGGTTCCTATTGATATTCCTCCACAGGTATCCCGAGAGCCCTTGGCCAGAGAGGCCCCCGAACTCAGGAACGGCGCTCTCGCTCGAGACTTTTTCGAACTTCAGTCAGTGGCCGAAAAAAAGAGAGTCCCCCGAAACGCGGTGCAATCGAAGACG